ATTTTTTTATATTATTTTTTTGTAACACTTTACATATTATTTAAGTGATTAATTCTTTTTATTTATTTGAGATTCATAATATTAAATGTATTAACTCATTTAATGACATATAAAAATTGTATAAAAAAAATTATGTCTACATCATTTTCCATATATTAGTGGTTTGTTTTTTCTATTTGATACTTCTAGTCCTTAGTAATACTACTATTTTTGTTTAACTTTAATAGTCTTATTTTAACTTTTTAATTTTTAAAAAATTAATTTCACATAAATATTTAACATGATATATAAATAGCAATGGAAATTTTTTTTTTTGATAAAATTATTAAGTAAAAAAAATCCTATATCAAGTGTATAACAGAAAAAATATGTGAATTAAATATAAAAAGAGTTACTCCATTTATTGTCAATTAATTTTAAATTAGATAAAAACCTTATGTTGAACACAAATTTTCATTCATAATTCATAATGTTTCCACATAAAACTAATGTTTAAAAAATTAAAAAGTTAATTTAAAATTATTAAACTTAAATAAAGAGGGAGTAATAGATATGTTAGAAATAGCCAAGAGCATAAAACTCTACAAATATTATTCTAAATTAAAATCCAAGTAAATTTATATTTTATCACCATGAAAGACAGCTAAGAAAAGAGAAAGCAAGATAATAGAAGTGATATATTTAAAATTTTTTATCATGTAATTGAAACTGTTTTAAACTATAAAATAAAAATAATCAGATAAGCAAAACTTTTAATGTTACAAACTCATCTTTCATTTGATGGTTATTATTTTATAATTATATAAAATTTAAATTACACAACAATTTTTCATGCAACTTATTATCTTCAATGAAATCAAATTAAGAAACAATGTCAGGACTGAGGGAAAGAGCCAGCACCCTGTCGACCGTCTCCACACACCCCAGGTCTTGCCGAGAAGATTGATATTGATAGAATATTTTTTTTCCAATCTATTGTTAGAGTGTTTTTTTTTTTGTCAAATTTTACATATTTTAATATTAATTTTTTAAAATAATTTTAAAAAATATTTTTATATCAATTTAATACATTTAAAAATATTAATTTTTTTTTGCATACTGCCCCTAACAACTTAATCTCATATCATATTGTTAGAAATTGATGAGGCATGTGTGGAAAATGAATTGAGTTAGGTAGTACTATTTATTCTCTATTGATAATAAATGATTACATAATTAATATTTTTGCTAATAAGAACAAGGGATATCTACTCATTTGAGTTGGTGGCTTGGCGTCGTATGTTGGTTTCACGCAACTTTAAATAGTCTTTTCCTCAATGCTGCCTTTTCTTAATAGGACCAAAAACAACAATGTTAAAAATAGCTAACAATAACTTACGTAATGTCTCTTTTTTTAAAAAAAAAAATTACACATGGTAGCGCGGCTGTGTATATCATTGTGATGGGAATGGGTTGGCTGTTAATGATTGTTATTCCCTGGATTGATCTGGTGGTGGACCATACAGCAACTGGGAAATGTGATTTGCACTCTAAGATTTGAGGGGATCATACGGTTTGGTTTATACGTTTGTTGGATCACCGCCCGCCACCGCCTCACGCAGTCACGCCGTGGGGTCTGCTGGTCCTGGACTGGCACGCTGTTGCTGGCTGCCTTCCCATTGAAAATATGCTCCATCCTTTACATTATACTCGATCCTCATTTTTTTTTTTTTTCAAAACTAATAACTATTTCTGTAGTTTATCTTGCACAAATTGTAAATACTTCAATCTTATTATTATTAAGGTTTTTTTAGAACCAATGATAGATCCCAATAATTATAGGGCAACGTATTTGCAGTTCACCGAGGACAAAATGTAAAATACAATTTATTTTTTCAATGAGATATTTAATTTTTTTGTCGAATTTTATTTTAAACAATGTATTAAAAACTAATAAAAATTTAATTAAATTAATATTTATTAATTTAAAATTTTTAATTTTAAGTTAAAATAAGATAATTAAACTTTTATAGTACCTAATAATTAACCATCTAATATATAAAAAAATATATTAAAGTTTCATTTTTAAGTCTAGTCCGATTGAGCAACCAGGAGTAGAGTAAATTGGAGCGCAACTACTTTCATTACTTCCAAAATAAAAAAAGTACTTTAATGAGCAAGTAGGTCCTTCCCGACGAATTATATAAAATTGGGGCGCAACCCTTAAATATTTTAATCCGGCGATGTTATCACGAGATTCAAAATTTTAATTATTAAAAATATTATAATTATAATATTATATCAAATTATAGATTTATAATTATTACATGCACAGATTTAGAAAATAAGGATAAACTCCTAAAACACTCCTGAACTTATTATTTTTAAGGGCATTCGCCCCTAAAGCTAAAACTTGAGAGTTTAGACCCCTCAACTATAAAGCTTACCGAGGAATAACCCTTTCGATAAACCACCGTTAAAAGGCAAAAAGGAAAAATTACTGCTAAGTCCTTAAAGTAAGAATTCCAAATGGAAATTTAGGATACAAATATAAATTGTTATCAATTAGATCCCAATCCAAAGAATTTAAGCATAGTAGTTGTCATACACATAATTTGAACTCAGATAAAAATTAGGACCACGAGATCCAAAATGGATGCTCAATTGTAGAGAATTCTCAAGAATGTTGAATTTAAATTATTGTTAAAATTTTTTATGAGTCAAGATCTCTGTCTAAATGGTTTTAAAAAATCTTTGAAGTTATAGTTAAGAATTATTTGAACAATTAACTCTCTTTAATCCTAATATTGTGTTCTAATTTCTGTACTTTCTCATACTCATTCATCTATAAAATCTTAATTACTTCGATATATTTCTTCTTTGAGTTATTTTTTAGTGATAATAGTAGTCATAGTAGTACCAAAGTATTGAAGGAGTATTAAATTTCACTATAGATTTACTATATCAAGTATCTACAAGTAGAAAAAATAGAAAAATTATTAGAAGCTTTTACTAAAATTGGGAAATTAGATATGTACACAAACTTAGTTTAGTACACACTCAAGACTCTTAAAGCGCACTCTTCAACAAACTCACTCTAACTTCCACTCTAATTCCAACTATGATTTACAAGATGTAGTTTATGCCTTTTTATAGGTAGTAGGGGCAGAATTTAACTTTGAACTTCACACTTAGTTTTCTAAGAGAAAAGACTCCAATACAATTATTTAAATTTCAAATTTGGACTTCAATACACTCTTAGAGTAATATAATTATATGATTGTCTACTTAATGATAAGATTCTCTTGTGGCTTTTATTTTTGCATCATGTTTTTTATTTTGTGTCACTCATCACCTGTCGTGTTCTTTCAGTAATAGTTATCGTTATAATGGTTGTCTTTTGAGAGATTTTCTTCATTATTGTTTTCTACAATCATTTCCTTCTCTAGGGCCTTGGATGATGACAATTCTTCTTCGTCCAACATTGTAGCTAACTTTCTTTTAATGTCCACTAATGCCTTTTCATATATTCTCTACATTAATCTATCATTTCAAGTATTGTATTTCCTACATTATTTTGGAATTTATGAGTTGTCCTATGGTTTCTTGGAACAATACATGTTAGCATTTTAAATATTGGGACCTAAATATAATATTTAAGGAGCTTCAAGAACCTATTGTCTAATAAGAAAAATCCAAAAGCAGTAAAGTGACTATAGGAATAAGAGTAACGGACAAAGTCCAAAAGTTTGGTCAAGAGTCTAAAAACCTTATATTTGTTAAGTTAAAAGGTGAAAAACCTAACTTGTAAGTTAAACGGCTGAAGGACTCAAAGATGAAAAGTTTAATGACTTTTAATAGATATAAGCCTCTTAAATATCAATGATAGAACCTTAAATGAAAAATTAATTATATAAAAATATATTGTATTATAAATTTATAATATTATATAATAAATTGTAACCCTATTATTTTCTTTAACATATCTCTTATTTAGATGGTACAAATTAGTTTAAAATTACAATTGCCAGAAAATGTATCACACACGTAAGACAACCGACACAACGATTGCTTTATTTCATTTGTGTTCAAAATCATGTCACTTTAAGGTTGTTCTGTTTTCCCCAACCAATTTTTTAAGGCTTAGTTTTGGTAAAAATAGTCAATGATAAAACTTTTTACCTGTTCCGAATGATCACAAATCACAAGATTTGTGGAATCTATTTTGAAGTTCGCATGATCAATGGTGGGAATACTGTAAGTCCTGGAGTACACAAGTAAGTGGTGACCTCCTCCTTTTTTTTTCTTTTTTTTTCTTTTTTTCTGTTCTTTAAAGGACAGTTAAGTGGTCTTGAAGCAGCTTAGAGAGGAAGAAATCTTGACATTTGCAGTTGGATTAGCCATCAATTACCCCATTTTGAAATGCTGTAATCTTTGCCAATGAGAATGTTTCAAGATTTCAATAATCAGGTGGCTTTGGTTAAAGAGACAATGGGCCTTTCGGGCTTTCAAATATTGGAATCTTGACTAAAGTAATGAAATTTTACTGACCGAATCTTTAACTTGTTTACCACATTTTGCCTCATCTCTTTCTTTCTATATTTTTTGGTTCAAGACCAACCAATAAAGATGGTGAATATGAAATATGATCAGAAATTATGAGAGGATAAAGTTGGTAGAAATAGGGAATTGATATTCTTGGCATTGAGAATTTATTTATTTTTTTTCTTAATTTACTTTGTTAAACAGATACTTGATTTTCTCAACTCTTGGACGAGAAGCTCAATGTTTCCCTCCTAGTTGAACTGTAATTGCAGATGCAAAATTTAATAATTTCATTTGGATTATGGTAAATTATGTAGTCTTTCAATAAATTGAGAATATCCAAAATTAAAATATGTGCTAATCGTATTTTATATAGAAACTATGAGTGCTTACTACCTTTCTAACACTTAATTGATCCTTCATTTTGAGTTAATCTCTACACAAACTTATATAATTTATTCTATCTCATTTGAATTGATGATAACTCCATCTATTTTTTATCATAAACAAATTGGATCAAAATGCTGTACTCCAGCATCGTCCTCGTGTTGGCCAATTTCTTTTTTTATAGGTTATTGAGTCAGTTTTTACATCTTTTGTTTTTTAATTTTATGTTACACAATAAAAGATAATACTCTTCACACTTTTTAATCAATCTCACTTATATGACATAATTAGACTTAAATTCAAAATTTTTTATTCCTCTTAAAAAAATTATTACTAAATTATTTAAATTATTAATTATATTTTATTTATTTATTTATTATATAAAGAAATTATATAAAGTTACATTAAAGTTAATTGAGATTTAGTCAGATAAATAAAGAGAATAGTATAGCCTAGGTCCAAAAATGTTTTTAGAGTACTTGTTTAAAAACTTATTTTTTAATTAATTAATATTTTCAAAAACTAACTGTTAGATTAACAGTTATATTGACGTAAATCATGTATATCAATTTTATATTAATTTAAAACTTATAAATATTTAATTAAAAAAATTATATTTATTGACATGTATTTAATAATGTTATATTTCCTATAATTTACAAAATATTTAGGTTTATTAAAACAATTTAAAAATTAATATACATGATCTATATTTCATAAGAATAGAACTTTTAATTTAATAATTGATTTTTAAAAATATTAATTTAAAAATAAATTTTTGAATGAATTTTTAAAAAATATTAAAAAAAATAACTTGTAAAACTTTTTTCCATAAACAAATATATATAGCAACGAAAAGAGTTCTTCACAAGATATTGGGCCATGGACTATCAGAAATATTTCCCAGATTTTCTTAAGATTAAAAGTCTAAAATAACATTTTGCCTAAAAAAGTCCAGTACCATTTTGTTTTGTACATGGGATCTAAAAATATACCCTATAGTACTTGTGGACTTGTGGTCTTGATTCTTGAAATCTTTTTCAAGAGAACTGGGCCTGGGCCTATGAAAAGGCTATTTTTGTAATTTAATACCAGTACCCGTAATGTTGATCCTCAACTTTTTCTCAATTTCACTTTGATCCACGAACTTCATAATACGAGAATTCGCTCTATTTTTTTCCCCCCAAACACTACATGGTTTACCCTGTTTAATTTTTATTTTTTTTCCCTTTTTAATACTTGCAGCCCATGAATTCTTCTTTAGTGAAAACCGAGACTCTTGCCCATTAGATTGTTAGGTTACATAAATAGCTCTAGGAAAATGAATACCAGCAGCATCTACAAGAGCTAGACTTGTCAAAATTGGAGTGAATTCAAATATTCAAGAGCTAACTCACCAGCTATAGGTTGAGTTATGAATTTAAGGTATTAATTTAGAATTTGATATAATTTAGATCAAAATTAT